ATAGGAAATGTTACATAGAGACCTTTGAAGAGGAAAACAGGGAAACTTCTTTTAATGCCATTGAAATACATTGAACACAGGGGAACTTTTGGAGAGACAGTGGAACAAATAGTAAATAATTTATTAAAAAATAGGGATTATCTTTCTCAGCAGGGATAGCTGGCACATGGGAAATCTGTCCAAGCCTATCCTGCTTACTCTTACTTTAAACATGCCCCACCCCTACATCTTCAGACCTCTCCTGGCAGAGTCTAGGGAATCTTCACATGTTTTTTTTCCATTCATACTTTGAGCACTACAAAAAATACTGTATAGGGAATGCCAGTGCTTTATTCTTAATTATTTGTATTCCAGTAGCACCTTGGAAGCTCCAACCAGAACCAGAGCCCCACTGTAGTAGGCAACACAAAATATACATAGTAAGAGACAGTCCCTACCTCAGTGAGCTTACAATTTAAATAGATGGGGCAGACAAAGGGTAGAAAAAAGGAAGGATCATCGGCTGCATTTTAGACATGGAGATCTGTGGCACTGAGAGATTAAGGAACATAGGAATTGCCAGCCTGAATCAGAGGTAAGGTTCATCTAGTCCAATACTCTGTCTCTGATTGTGTCCAGCACCAAATGCTTCTTCAAAGGAAGGCGTAAGAACCCTTCAGTAGGTGGATGTGGAATCTTTCCCCATATTACTCTCATCCTGTTCTCCAATAATTAGAGATCACCATTTCACCTTAAATGGTCCTTTGAAATATGTGACAGGTTTCAGAGTAGTAGCCGTGTTAGTCTGTAGCAGCAAAAACAACGAGGTGTCCTTGTGGCACTTTAGAGACTAACAAATTTATTTGGGCATAAGCTTTCATGGGCTAAAACCCACTTCATCAGATACATGGAGTGGAACATATAGTAGGGAGGTATAAATACACAAAAGAATAAATGGACACAAATCTGACATCAGGAATTATAACTTTCAAAAACCAGTAGAACACTTCAATCTCCCTGGTCACTCACTAACAGACTTAAAAGTGGCAATTCTTCCACACACAAAAACTTGAAAAACATACTCCAAAGAGAAACTGCAGAACTGGAATTAATTTGGAAACTGGACACCATCAAATTAGGCCTGAATAAAGACTAGGAGTGGATGGGTCACTACAAAAACTAAATCAATTTGTTAGTCTCTCAGGTTCCACAAGTACTCCTTGTTGTTTTTACAAAAACTAATTTCCCCTTGCTAAATACTCACACCTTCTTGTCAACTGTTTGAAATGGGCCAACTTGTTTACATTGGCCTCATTAACACTACAAAAGTGATTTTCCACTCCCAGTCAACTGTTGAGAATAGCCTACTTCCAACTTAATTGAATTGGCTTGTTAGCACTGATCCCCCCCTCCCAACTTGGTAAGGCAATTCCCATCTTTTCAAATGCTGTGTATTTATACCTTCCTACTGTATGTTCCATTCCATGCATCTGATGAAGTGGGTTTTAGCCAGGAAAGCTTATACCCAAATAAATTTGTTAGTCTCTAAAGTGCCACAAGGACTCCTCATTGTTTTTGAAATATGTGTTAACTACTTATGCTAAACAATCTGTTCTACTTTGTATTTAGCTGTGAGACTCTGAGTACATTTCCCAGACCTGAAGAAGAGCTCTGTGTAGCTCAAAAGATTGTCTCTCTCACCAAAAGAACTTGGTCCAATAAAAGATATTACCTCACCCACCGTGTCTCTCTAATATCCTGGGACCGACAGGCCTACAACAACACTGCATACATAAAATCCCTCAGGCAGACCTGCCCCATATCTCATCTTTAATTGGAAGGAAAGAAGGGAATCATTCACTGGCAGTTAATTTTAAAGTGCTGTGTGTGCCACAGTCACTCTCAGAGATAATATTTTGTTGTTTGAGTTGCAATAAGACATTTATGATCTCATTAATCACTATCTATACTCACCACTAAGAGACACCAAACCAGCAACAATGTGTGACACACAACTTCTTGGGGAAGGATATGCAATGAATACTCAGAAACCACAGGAAACAAACAAGACAGACAGTCACGACAACAGGTTAGTTTTGTAACATTTTTATTAAAACAGTTACTTCCTCTGTCTAAACAGAGGTTTCAAAAACTGACAATTTAAATGTGGGAGATGTATTAATGTATGCTGTTTATGTGCAATTTTCCGTATATTGAGGAAGACGCAACTTAACATATTGAAAGAGACAAACAAAATAAGCAGGTGGAGGGGCCAGTCTGGCAGAGATGGAGTGACTTTTTATAGTACTACCTTCTCCTCTTTCAAATCTCTCCTTAAAACACACTTCAGTGAGGCTCATCAGCATTATTTCCATTCCAACTAGATGATACAATTTATGGGAATCAGAGCACAGTATTGGATGGTAGAGGGTAGTTCTTCACTGTTATGTATTGGACTGTAACAAAATTGCTTACTAAGGCTCTGGTCCTACAAACACTTGGGCATGTGTTCACATCCGAAGAAGTGAGGTTTTTACCCACGAAAGCTTATGCCCAAATAAATCTGTTAGTCTTTAAGGTGCCACCAGACTCCTTGTTGTTTTTGTAGATACAGACTAACACGGCTACCCCCTGATACTTGGGCATGTGCTTATCGTTAAGCATGTGGGTAGTCCCAATGATTACACTGGGCCTACTCATGCTTAAACACATGCCTAAGTATTTGCAGGATCAAGGCCTATGTTTGTCTTCTAAGACCTTGTCTACACCAGTGGCTCTCAGACTACTGTCTCCCTTTCAGTAGTCTGATTTGTCTTGAATACCCCCAAGTTACAAAAATTACTTGTTTACAAAATCAGACAAATTCAAAATGTCACAGCACACTATTACTGAAAAATTGCTTACTTTCTCATTTTTACCATATAATTATAAGATAAATCAATTGGTATATAAACATTCTACTTACATTTCGGTGTATAGTATATAGAGCAGTACAAACAAGTCATTGTCTGTATGAAATTTTAGTTTGTACTGACTTCACTAGTGCTTTTTATGTAGCCTGTTGTAAAACTAGGCAAATATCTAGATGAGTTGATGTATCGCTAGGAAGACCTCTGTAAACCCCCAAAGGTGCCCGAACCCCTGGTTAAGATCCACTGGTCTAAACACATAAATTGCATCAGTTTAAGCAAATCTGTTCAAAAACACACACATTTAGTTAAACCAATGCAACTTTGTGTACACTAGGCCATAGCATAATGAACTGTGGCTATACATCATAGTTGTCAGAGAGAACTAATGCAAAGACGGTTCAGAGAACCTTGCAACAATCAACCACTTATATTCTAATATTATTACTGAAATATTTTGCAAGAAGGATATGAATGAAGAGGAGCTTATTATATAGGGAATTCTGATGTAACTTCTTCTGACATACCTGCTCATTCCATTAAAAGGAGCATCTCTCCATTGATGGAGGTGTTCACTGACATTTCAAAACTACAATTATTGAAATAGGCCATTTCAGCAACTCCCTTCATCCAATAATAAATAAGATAGACATTTTTAACAGTAAGGGTAATTAACCATTGGAACAAATCACCAAGGGTTGTGGTGCACTCTCCATCAGTGGCCAGTTTACAATCAAGGAAGTGCTGTGGCCTTGTGTGATGCAGGAGGTCAGACTAGCTGATCACAATGGTCTGGCCTTAGAATCTGTAACAACCCAGGAAATAAAATCGTATTTCAAAGGCTAAACTACCTCCTGGCATGGGCAGTGGGTGAACTCCCACTTTGGGGAGGTCCTGCCCACCAGAGCCCCGAGTGCCAGGCTGGCCCTAGCACCAGGCCAAGCCGCTGGCCCCCCGAACATCAGGCTAGCCCCAGCGCCGGGCCACCCAGGGCCGGTGCAAGGAAGTTTCGCGCCCTAGGCGAAACTTCCACCTTGCACTCCCCCCTCCAGGCCTGCGGCAGCTCCCCTTCCCCCCCTCTGCCCTAAGCGCCCCCCCCCGCAGCAGCTCCCCCCTGCCCTGAGGCGCCCCCCCCGCGGCAGCTCCCCACCCCAGCACACCTCTGCTCCGCCTCCTCCCGAGCATGCCGCCCTGCTCTAATTCTCCTCCCCTACCATGCTTGCGGCGCCGAACAGCTGATTGGCACCGCAAGCCTGGGAGGCGGGAGAAGTGGAGCAGCGACCGCGCGCTCAGGAAGGGGGCGTAGGAATGCTGTAAAAAAAAATTGGGGTCACTGCTTTTTGGCACCCCCAAATCTTGGCACCCTAGGCAACCTCCTAGTTTGCCTTAATGGTAGCACCGGCCCTGGGGCCACCCCTCGAGCATTGGGCCGAGCTGCTGCCCCCCCAAGTGCTGGCCTCAGCCACCAGCTCAACCCCCTATCACCACTGACCCCAGCACCGGTGGCCTGAGCTCATGGCTGCCAGCTGGAGCTGAGCCCCCACCGGCTTCCGGTAGAGGGGCAGGGAGGGCACGGCCTCAGGGCGCAACATGGGCGGTGCCACGGCATGGGGGAGGGGAAGCTTAGCTGCCCTGGCCTGTGATACCCGTTGCCCATGCTCCTGGTGATCTCCTCAGGAGTCAGTGGCAGGGCACCAGCAGAGAATGTGACTGATGACCAGTGCTTAATTTGTAATGAAAGAGGTGCCAGGGCTCAAGCAATTTTCTACATTCATAACTAATGCAGCAAGCCCAGGGATGCGGGGGCTACAAACTGCCAAAGCTGGCGGTGCCGGGGCTCAGCCCTGGCACAAATTAAGCACTCGGGAAGAGCTTCCTGCTCCCCCAGCGAGCCCCTCACAGCTAGTGGAAGGGCAGCAGCCTGCGGCAAGAAGCCGGGGTGGTGGCAGCAAGCAGTGGGGCTCGTGAGGAGCCTGCTCCCCGGGCCCGACCGTGTGGGTCAGGCCCCGAAGGAGAGGCGGCCGAGCTGGAGCTAGCTGCGGGTCCCCCACAGGGGGGAGAAGGCGACTTCGCTCTTCACCCTCCGTTAGCGCCGGTTCTAGCGGCCGGCCAAGGTCTGCCGGACTCCCCCGGCGGGACTCGCAGCGGCTGAGCCTGGCGCTCCGGGCGGGCCCGGCTCTGAGCTCGGCCGGATGAGGCAGCGCAGCGCGGGAAGCTCTAGTAGCGCCGAGTGGCTCAGTCCCGCCGCCCTTTGATCTGCCGCGTAGGTGATGCCGCCTGCAGCTGCGGACTCCTGTCCGAGCCAGGGCGTCAGGGTGAGCCGCTGTGGGGCTCTGGGACCGGCGGGTCTGCACGGGGAAGGTGCGTGAGCCGCTTCTCTCTCCGGCTGCTGCTGCGGGAGGCCGGGCTGCTGCTGCAGAGGCCAGCGCGGGGCCCGGCCGGCCTGCACGACTTCTGGGGCCTCTGGGTCGTCGCTGGCCTGTGCCACTGCCGGGGCTGTGTGCCAGGGCCCCAGTGCTGTGCCGGGAGCACTGGGCCCCCAGCCTTCCCGTGACGTAGAGTCACCAGGGGTGCCTGCATTGGCGCTAGGGGACCCCCCCCCTTCCCAGGGCTGCGTGGGCGCACAGCTGCCGCCCCGCTCCTTGTTTGTTTTTTCGGGGGGGGGGGGGGGGGGGGGCCGCGGGGCGCCGGGGGGGGGGGGGGGGGGGGCATTAGTGCTGCAGAGGGTCCTTTGCACCCCATCCTTCCTGTGGCTCCTCCACGGGTCTCTGTGCAGCTGGGCCAGGCTGCACTTAGGGCTCTGCTCAGCCCCCCCCCCCTCCCCGGCACCCGTTAAAATTACTCCTTTTCAAGCGAGTTCAATGGGAATTGAACATTGCAGCAGTACAAATGTTCAAATTAACATCAAGTTGATTGCGCCCCGGTTAAAAAGACAGCGAGAGAGGGGGTACATAAAGGGTTGATGGGTGGGCAGCAGAGGTGACACGTAACTGACCGGCGCCTAGCGCCTGCCTGCACTCACCAGCCCCCACAGTTCACAGCGTGCAGCCAATGGCAGCTGGAAATGGGACAGGGGGTGGGGCCCTGCTGGCCGACAGCCCTTAGGCAGGGGGGGCTGCACTCACGGACCAGCAGGGGGAGTGACTGGCCCCGCACACTGCATCTTTGCCGCGCCACCAGCCTTGCACACGCACTCCCATTGTCGGCCACAGAACCCCTCCACTCACCGCAGGTGGCTGGCGAGCAGGGATCCGGCCAGTACTGATAGGAGTGGAGGGGAGACAGAAAATAGTGGAAAGTTTTCCCGTTTATAAGAAAAAGTTGGGACAGCTGCAGGACAGTGCTGGGTTTACAATGGCGCCATGGAGCCAGGCCCATGCCCAGAAAGGGCCCCTGCCTGCTCTGCTTGCACTGCACTCGAGACCCCGCTGGCTCACCCCCCGCCCCTGCCCACCACTTGCTCCTCTCGGCCTGCCCACCAGCCAGCCGATGGCTCCTCTCCACCCCCCTGGTTTAACCTGCTGGCTTCTCTCTGCCTCCTGGCCAGACCCCAATGCACCTCTGGCTCCAGGCAGTCTCTGCTTCCCACCGCCAGTGGGGCCCCACCTGTCTCCCTGGAGCTGAGCCGCCTGGGACTGATGCAGAAGCCTGGCCAGTCTCAGCCAGTTGGGGTGGGGGGAACAGCGTGGGTGGCTTGGCTGGGCCCTTCCAGGCAAGTGGGTCCTGAGGGAGCCCGGGTGGGGCAGGCCCTGGCCTGGCTGATCGCACCACTCCCAAGGGGCCGGACTGATTCCCCGCCCCAGGACGGAGGTGGCTTAGCCTGGCAGACACAGTCGCCTCCCAGCAGGGCCAGTGATTGAGGCCAGGAGGCAGGGTGTGGGGGAGTGGGTCTCTGGAGGGCCTAGGGGGGGGGAAGGTCTCTGTGTGTTGGGGCACTAGGGAATGGGGGTTCTGTGTGGGGTGCTGGGCAGTTATGGTGTTATGCAGGGCACTGTGCATTTGTGGCGGGGTTGGGGGGGGGCTGGGCACAGTGGGTCCGGGGGGGCTCTGGCCGCAGGGAATCGGGGTGTGTGTGTTCTGGTGTTGGGCAGGAGGGCTGTGTGGCACCACACGGGCCCACCCCTGAGGGGAAGGGACATGCTGACAGCACAGAGCCAGGCGGGCCATTGTGCGTCTGGCAACTGCCGGTTTGTAAATAGTGCCCTCGCACTGGGCTGGGCGAAGCGGGTCCGCCCCTGCCATGTCATGCCCCATTGCCCCTGGCTGGCCCCTCGTTCCGGGGACTGAACCCCCTGCGCCATGCTCCATTGCTGCCATGGGGGCACACAGATATGTTTGGCACTGGGCCCACAAAAGGTTAATCCGGCCCTGCTGCAGGAGGGCTTAAATATGGGATTGTCCTTTAAAAACTGGACATCTGGTCACCCTATTCATGGGACACTGTGTGGTTATTTGACTCAATGGGTGCAGTGGTTGCTCTTACCAACCTGCAGCTGAAATGGTTCTACCAACGAGTCTTCTGTTCACACATGGCTCTATATGGTTCACATGGTAAAAATGGTACCAGTCACCCAGTGCCTGCTATCAGTTTGTGCCACTCTGTTGCCTCTTTCACCTGTTCGGTTGTGTTGGTGGTTTGGTGCAGATATCCCTAGTACAGTCCCAGCAGTACATTCAATTTTTCAAGTCCCAACATGCCCAATATAGCTTCAGCATTGCTCCCTACAGCTCCAGCGTCTCTCACTGTGCTTCACCCTGGCCACTGTAGTTGGGGTGCTTCTCCACCTTGTTTTCTTTCCAGGCCTGGCTATAGCTCTCCCATGGTTCACCCCTTTATCATTCCCCAGACCGTAGCCTTCTCTGGCCCTCCAGCTTCAGCTCTCTAACTCAGAGAGCCAACAGACATCTCCTGCTGCTGCTCTCAGCCTTCAGCTTTCTTTGGCCTGGGGAAGTTTGTAGGAGACCCATCCTGACTGTTCTCCTGTCTTCTGCTTGAAGTGGCCTGATCTGGCTCCACTGCTCACTCGGGAGTTCTTACTGCTCCCTCCTTCAAGGAAGCCTTCAATTCTGTTCTGCTTTTCTTAGTGAGCTTGTGCTCAAGCTCCTTCTGTGGGTTCTGAACTCCTCCTTATCTTTGGGCTGTCTCTCATTTCTAACTCCCATGGCAGCCACACCCTCCTCAGACTGGAATAGGAGTATTGGATCCCATTTCACTTAAGGGCCTGCTACCATGCTCAAAGATTTCCTTTTTGAGAACTATGCAAAAGAGAGGCAAGTATAGAATAGAGAAGAAGAGAGAAGTGTACATCAGGATAGTGGAAAGCTAAGGTGCAGCTCTTGCATATAAATGTACAACACAGAATGATTTAAAACCTGTGAGTGATACAGAGTTACCCACATTGTTCTAAGAAGGCATTATACAGTTTGGATACTTTTTGTACTTCAAGGAGAATAATTAGAAAACCAATGGTTGTGTCTTTTGAGAAGCAAAAAATAAGCTAGTCTCAAAGGAGAGCACGTTCATACACTTTTGAGAAAGATTAAGGACAAAACTTTGAAATGCAACCACTCTGGCTTTTTTTATTCTTTTTTATTTATTATTTAATTCAATGGGCCCCAAAGGAGTTCCAGATTTTTGGAAGTGCGGCGGTACCATCCATAATGCCAATTGAAGTTAATAGGAGTTGTGAATAACACTTCTGAAAATCAGGCCCAAGGTATCTTCAGTTGGTCATCCTCAGCTGAGGCACTCAAAATCAGTAGCACTTTTGGAAAATGAAAAGTAACATTCCCAATGTCTGGTTACTATGGGCCTGATTTTTCAAAGGTACTGAACATGTGCAGTTTCATGTTGATTTCACCAGGAGTTGTGAATGTCTAATACAGTGGTTCTCAAAGTTTTGTACTGGTGACCCCTTTCACATAGCAAGCCTCTGAGTGCGACCCCCCCTTATAAATTAAAAACACTTTTTTATATATTTAACACCATTATAAATGCTGGAGGCAAAGCAGGGTTTGGGGTGGAGACTGATAACTTGTGACCCCCCCGTTTGAGAAACCCTGGTCTAATACCTCTGAAAGTCAGGCCTGATGTGCCTGCCTGTTATAATAAAACACAGATCCTCAGCTAAAGGGAAAGTGTGTGTGTTATGCTCTCCCACCCCTCTTTAATTTCCTTCTTTTTAACACACTGAGATTTGTGTCTCCACAAATGTACTTTCAGGAACACACCATATGGGATAGCACCTGTGTAATGTGCAATTCTCGGTATGACTATGAGCAAGACTGATTCCATGTGTTGGGATGGAGGACTTACTAATACTCTTATCCAGCATGTAGTCCTCTCTGCTTCAACCACAAAAGATTTATAAGGTTTAAAGCTAGGATGAAAAAGGCCGGTCAGATTTTGCTTGAGTGGTGTTCTGTTAGGATAAAGGCTCTTATTGGAATTCATTCCTAGGGTGGTCTATTGTCTCATGTTCTTCAGAAATACTTCATAATCTGAATAAAAAGCATCCACTTCATAAAATGTAAGTTATGTATTGTTGGTCTCTTGAAAACTTAAACTAATTTTTTCCAGTGTTGCATCTGCTGTGGCTTAGATGACATTGTGGAAGCAGGGAAAGAACTGACAGGAAGGGGATGCAATGCATGACAGTTCGTTAGCAAGAGTTAGGCTAACTGTCTTACACAACATCCATGAGTAATGCCCACGATACAGTTTTTTTAAGCTGGCTGGACACTGTTTTATAGATGAGGTTTGTGTCAAGTATAGACAGACCTAGGACTTGGCCAGCAGAAGTTTGCAAATTCACGCTAAATCTTTGGATTGCCTTGGCTAGTTCCTTGGTATCAGGGCCGGCTCTGGCTTTTGGGCCGCCCCAAGCAAAAAATAGAACAAAAAAACGGGGCAGACAGAATGGCAAAGCAAAAAAACAAACAAAAAAAAAACCGGGGGGGGGGCCAGAGCGGGGGGGGGGGGGGACCGGCGGGGGGGGGGGGGGAGAGGGAGCGGGCGGGAGAGAGAGAGAAGGGGGCGGCCAGGGTACAGCAGGGGCGCTGCCACGCGGCCCCTCCCGCTGTGCCGCCTCCTGCCGCAAGGGCTCCGCTCCAGTCGGCGGGGAGGGAAGGAAGAGGACCGCCCTGCAGGGCGCTCTGGTTCTCCGCGCCGCCGCCCCCTACAGGGCGGCCGGAGCGGAACAAAAAAAAAAAGCGGCCGTGCCGCCCTAGGATTGGGCAAAATGCCTCCTCGAATAATCTGCCGCCCCAAGCACCTGCTTGCTCAGCTGGTGCCTGGAGCCGGCCCTGCTTGGTATTCAAACTATTGTTAACAGCATAAAAATAAAGTACCAAGACAGACA